TTGAAACTTTCCTGCCCTCTGTGAGCACTGATGTGACAGTAGCATGTACACCTTCAAATCACAGGGTCCAAATGAGCACCTAAGTCCTTATATGACTGACAGATGAGAGAGTCTGAAAGATGTTCTGGGTTATTCAGATGAGGTCTTAGAAATTACAAGCGAGAAGGACCAGGCAAAAAGGAACCTGCAGCTTTTATAAATGGCTAATTCTGGTTTTCTAAATATTTTCCTCTCCTGCTGTTGTTTGGGGAGCTGACTGCTGTACTCCAACCCTGTGATACTCCATTTCTACAAGACTTGGAGCTCTTCAGGCTGAAAATTGCTGTGAAAGATCCTGCCAAGACACTGGTTCATTTTTTTTCCCCCAGTGCTTCCTAATGAATGCAGGAACCATCACTTGCAATACAAGAAAGCAGCAGGGGAAAGCAGCATTTATTTAGCTTAATTTAGCAAATGATTCAGTTTGTTTATGAACCTCATTTTTCTGCTCTTTTTAAACTCTTGTTGGAAATGGTGCCATCTATCAAAAGCGGCACAGTTTGATACCTCTTTGGTATCCCCTCATTCTCCTTTTAATATCTTTAATACTCAGGAAAGTGATCAAAGCCAGTCTACAGAAGAGGTTGTCCATCTGCTTCCTCCTTTTCTCTCTCTAAAGGACCACCCTCACTAGCAGTAGCCAATGATTACATTAATTATCTGTAAGCTAAAAGGTGCAATGCTGCTCTTTCCTACATCCAGACTGCCAAGTCCCATTCTCCTCCTCCTCCCTTTCTGGAGATCTCTCTGCTGGATGCAGTTTTTAGGAAGGACCTAAGAGGACAGTTTCCTCCTTTTGCCAAGGCAGGAGCTTCTCAGCAGTCCTCAGCTGCACAGCATGCCAAGCAAGCTGGGAGAATTCACAACTGCAGCCACCACCACCTCCTGTCCAACTGGATTATTTCAGCTCATCATTTCTACAAATTCACTAGCCTGCTAACATGCACAGGCAGAGGAAGCAAAGGTTTTAGTTAGGATGAAGGATTTTTGTTAAGCATGTTTTCCTTGCTCTGCAGATAGTTTCAGAACAGCTGCCCAACAGTATTTACTGTTTGGAGGAACATCCTTCTGATGATCAACTTTGTGCTCAGAATGGCCAAAGTATAAAAGAACTTATGATCCCTCCACAGTAGGTTATTAATAATTTCTTAGCTCACTACAACTACTTAGTACTGAGATACTAATTAATTTACCTCTCTTATGAAGGTCAGCTTGACAATTTTCTATCTCTCAGTTTGACTAAATGAAAATATTTAAATCTGGTTCAGATGAGAAGTCTCAGAGAAGCAATGTTTGGGTGGCAATCGCTCAGACTAATGGTCCTTTATTTAAAAACAATTGTTTCCACTCTAACTAAAATTATGAAAATAAATCTTCCTGCCTAGCACTATATAAACATTTTGTAAAATGTACATTTTGGGACAAATTTGAGTCCAGCTGTTTGCCTTTTATCTTTACATTTTTAGGTTGCTCTCCGCCTCCATTCCCCCCCTATACAGCCACAGTTAGCTGGAAGCCAGAATTTCTTCTGCAAACGCCCCAGCTCTAAGAAGGCAAACTTGTTTAAGCAGAGACCATATTTGGAAGAGATCTGGGTCAAGAAAAATAATCAAAGGAAAGTGCATTCCTGGAGCGTCACGTGAGGAGCCAGGAGGCGCCCACGGGGCCCCGCGCCCACGCTGGGGTAAAGGGAAGGGGCCACACTCCACCTTCACCAGGAGCTGACTGGGAGTAGGCTGGGGCAAGGGCTGCTTTTACCCCAGCTTCCTCAGACAACCACCTCACCCGGGGCATTCAGGCAAGTTTAGAAGAGGTTTTATTAAGAGAGGTGGTCGCCAACACGCGATCGACAGGATGCACCCGCAGCAAGAACTGTGAATAGTGGCACGTGCCCAGGCTCCATTCCCCCAGACACACACCCCAGCCTCTAGCCCTGCCTCTGGTTTCCCTGAGGCAACCTCCATTCCTCACCAACATAAACGTGGCTGAAGGGCTAACACCCAACGTGTGCTCGCTCTCCCCGAGACTCCAGCATCCTCCTCCCGTTTTATTTAGGAAGAGCTCAAATCCAGCCTTTGGTTTAGTTTTATATTGGGCTATTACAACAGCAGAACTACAGCAAAGCTGTAATTTTTTGATTAAAAATCTATTTTTTCTTTATCTCTCTTTCATCACTTGGAAGACTGAGTGAGAAAAGCTCCAAGAGCTTTTCTTTTCCAAGAGATGGCACGTTGAGCCTCAATCTTTTATTCTATTAGCAGCCAAATAGGCATCAAACAGACTGCACTGCTTTAATTGTACAAGTAAAATCTCAAGCAGCTGGGACAGAACAGCCACAGAACGTTTTTACAGCATGTGAGGTGGGCCTTAAGCTGCCTCTCTAATGAAACAGAGGGTGGCAACGATGTGCAATACAGTCACAGAGGACTGTAAAATTCTGAACTGTGACTGCACACATTTTTCATCTGGCTATGAAATTTTTTCCCCACCCACAACACTGGATTTAGTCCCCCCCTGTCCTGTTTTCCTGGCTAGGGCACAGAGCAAAGCCTCTGCCCATCTGCCCAGTCATGTGTAGAGCTCCTGCATCGACTCACACACCAAGAGTGGTGGACAGGATGTCCTGATTAACCATGGAGCTCTCTCCTGCCACCTAAAAGTGCCAGTGTCCTCCACCCTGGGAGCAGCAGTACCCCTCACCACCACCACACCATGATGTCAACACTGCATTACTGTGACATGCACAAAAAACTCATTTGGGACCCCATATCAAACACTTGTATCCCCACCCAAAATACCAACATCTCCTCAAGCACCAAGAGCATAAGGCAACCTAGGAAGCTGGCACTGTAGCACCTTGGGCAGATAATACACATAAGCAGAGCTTGTTCCTTTTAAAAGTACAACAGAAATACAGCACCCTGTGCTATTCCAACAACTGGTGAGAGGAATCTGTCCAGGGCAGATCCCCTGGGAAGCAGCCAAACTGGGATGTTTAAAAAGATCTTCTCTATAGCCATGGATGAAAGCACTTGGAAAGAACTAAATTTAACATTTTTCATTCCTCCTGTCTTCTCCAAACTTCTTGTCTTGTTTCCACTATTTTTCCCTTGTGTGTTTGTCAATTTGAGGGTTTCTCCTCTGTCTCACGTGCGTTTCATTCCCATTTTCATGCATCCAAACGCCTCCACTGTGACTTTCTTAACCAAGTTTGAGCCACATCTCATGGCATTTGAAGCAGAAAAAAAGATCACAAGCACTAGTTACTATTCACAACAGGAAAGCAGCACAGGAGCAGTGTAAGTGCAGAAAACAGATGAGCTATTCAGAAAGACAGTTTCTGAAAAATACACATTGAAATTACTTTTATTTTTGCCGGAATTTAAAAAACATAAGAATATTGACATTGCATTTAAAAACCCCAGGAAGTTAAAGGTTATACATTGTAGTATCTCTGAAATCCAACAGTGCAAAGCTGGAAATGACAAAAATGTCTCCATCATGCTTGTTTTAGGAGATACCAATATATAGGATGAACATTTGGGAACAAGATTTTTAAAGAAGTGGCAGGCTGTCCAAACTTGAAAGTGCTCTTCATTAAATACACCAAAATCTGTCATTCTTCTGGGGGGGACACTGTCCAAAAGTTAGCAACAAAGGTGGTGTTATGAAACATACCAAAACCCAATTCTTAACAGAAGGAAACTGAATGGATTTAAAGGAAACATGGGGATTTTGTCTCAGATTTTGAGAAGTGTAATTGTGTGTGTTTCTTCTCTTTGTTTTACCCCGTGTAGTAACATCAGCAAGTATTGGCTGTTCTTATTCTAAATGTCTATTATAATCACTACTTTCCTTTGCTGCATGGCAAATCTGCTACACCAAGATGAGACATGTTGTATGCAAACAGAAACAGTCATTTTAAAATTACCTGAAGCTGGGCAACAGAGGTGGTGAATTTATACAGCCGTGATGCGGGTGGCACCATCTGTCTTCACCAGGGTTCAAGGAGTATATACAGAGCTGGTTTAAAATGACACCTTTCTCCTCAGTGTGTCAGGTAAGAAAAGCTTTCTACAAAAGTCCTTTGGAAAGTCAGCATCTGGAAAGTCTTGCAGCTGCTAGAATGAGACGATTCAAACGGCTACAACTCGAGGCTCCAGGAAAGCAGACAGGGAAGATAAATGCTTAAGAGTAGGAAGTGCCCATCATGAATACGAATGGTTTTGGGGATGAGACCTCAAAAAGAAAGGTCGTGCCTGTCCCAGTAGCTTACTGATTGCAATGATAGTCAATAGATGTGGAACTCACTCAAAATAGGAATCAGTTTTAGTTAAAGCCATGTCCTAACAGTAATAAAGATGACAACCCTGGGGGGAAATAATCACATTAAATGTATATATAAGAACACTATAAAAAAGTGACGAAGTCATATTTTATTACAAAAGAGGTTTCTCTTTTCTTTCAGATATTTTTTTTTAACTCAACAAGCTTTCATCCTTATGTCAGAGAATGAGAAAAAAAAATTGAATCCTACAATTCTGATGTTTAGGAAAAAAACCCAGAAAAAAAAACTATTTTCATACTACAAAACATTTCACTTTACAAAAACCCCAAACAGTCATTCTGTTACCTGGATGATAAAGACAAAATGGGAGGTGAAACAGATAAGAAGATCTTAAAACTAGACCTCAAGTGTTTCTGGGTAAAATTCTCTACTCTGATCAAGACTCTCTGACTTTAGGGGGGCATTTGTACAGGGAAGGAACGTGTGTGGAACCAGCCAGAGAGATGCTATGGATCAGGAGAAAATCCTGCCTTTATTTTGGTGGTTTATCATTTTTCCAGTAGAAACTGATACGGCGTGAACCATCCCCACAAGTAGGAAGCAGGTACATTCTAACAATTTCCAAAGCAAATCCCAACCTTGTTTCATTTCCTGAACAGTATGGTCTGTCAGAAAAAAAATTAAAATCTCTTTTATTTTCTATTCTTGACGATGGAAAGTTTATAAAAATGCACTTTTGAAATTAAATCATGCTCCGCCAAAACCCCTCTGCTTGAAGACTTGCTAACTTGAGTGGAGAGAATGAAGATGTTTCAGCCAAGTATCAATTTTTCTGTTAAAAAATGTCCGCAAGACAAAATAAAAAAATTCTTAATTTACAATAAGCAGTGTAAACAGCAAAAACAACAGAAGCCACAAACTGTCACGCACCAGCCACCGGCAGACAGAGAACTCCAAATGCTCATAGAACTTTGTATCTTCCTTTGTTGGTTGGTTGGTAAGAATTTTGCTGCAAGAAAGAAAAATGCAGTTAAAATGGAATAATGAAAATGGATAAATGAATTGCAGTAAACCCCCCTGAACAATAAATCCACGTTACAGGTGAACAGGCAGTTGCTTTGCAAAGTGTTTTTATGGGGAGATAATTCTGAAAAAGAATCCAAACTCTCAGTGCTGGCTCAGCAGGCCCATGGGAACAGACTGCTGAAGAGGAAAAGCCAAAGACACTGTCCAGTCTATGCAGGATCACTGAAGGTTACTCTAAATCTATCACTGAGGTTTCTTTAAACACAGAACTCAGAGATTCCTTCAGACAGTTTCTTATTTGAAAACAGAGCATGTTGAACACAGCTGATTATTAGCTGGGTATGCTGTAAAGCCAAAGCTCTCAACACATACAAAGAATTAAAATGAAGAGAGTAATTCTCTCCCCTGCCTGATGGTGCTGAAATTAGGCAATTTATTGGGACCTAACTCTGTAAGGGGTCTTCACTCAAAAAGCTCTGTTAATGTGTTATCTCCATCTGCTGGCTGGATCACAGCCCTGTCTCTGGCTGACTGAACACAGCAATCTATTTTCAAGGCTGTTCCATCAAACAGCTGGTTTGAGGTCTGTAGGTCCTGACAGTCACTGCCACTAATAAAAAAGTATGCCAGAGTGCCAACGTTTGAAGAAATCCATCTCACAAAGCATAAATCAAGACACTTTCCTTTTCATTCTGGGTATTTTACTCACCAATCTGATGAGCTCCTCTTTTATGAGTCGTGTGATTTCTGCCTTTGCTTTCTGTACAGCCAGTTCATTGGCACCTGAAGACAAAAAAACAACATTCCCAACTTCAACACTTTCTGTGTGGGAAGCCCAGAGAAAAAAAACACTGCTGACTATTTTCAGAACCACTGTAAAACTTGCTGAATATCCTCAACTGTTTGCTGAAGACCACTCTAGTATTGCATAAATACCCACGGCTAGACTGTGGTATAAGGAAGGTACTTAAAACAGTCATAAATTAACTCTTCAGGAATACCTACAATTAAAATTTGAGAAAAACTCTACTCCACCATTATGTTTGCCAAGTTTTTGTTGGAGTAGTTGATGTAGCTTCTTGTACCTTTAACATCTCAAACCCACCCCATTTAATTTTCTTCTTTATTTCACACTGGCACATTCATCTTTGTGCTTATTCTGATCCCTCCCCCCTTTTCTTCCCCTCTTCTCCAAACTGATTCCCCACATTTGCTGTTCTGAGGCAGCTCAGTCTTCTGCCTCTGTGTTAAGATTTCTTAATATCAATTTGCAAAGTGAGTCCAGTGGGTACGTAACTGAGCACCAGACAAGACAACAGAAATTCTGTGTTTAACTACAAAACTAGGCTCATATCTTTAACTGAAACATTTATAAAAAGAAAACTTACTTTCTATAGCCAAATAAATCTTTCGTTCTCCTTCCTTGGGTTCTTTGCCTGGAGGGAAGTAAGTTCCTCTGATTGTAATAGCAGCTTCAGAATATTCACTGATTCTCTGCAGTGCTTCTTTGGAGGTAACCTTCCACCTGGCAGTCTGCAAGGTGAAGGACAGGGGTGGGTCAACAAGGAGAAAAACATCCCACAAAATGGCAATCCCAAGGTGAGCTGACATTTCAGACAAGCAATGAGAACCCTGCACTGTGGAAATCACTGATGGCATTTGGCTTTAAAACACAGACTGACATTTCAGCCAGTTGTTTTTACACAAATATATTTTTTAAAAAAATTGCCTCTTGTGTCAGCAAGATAAAGTTATGGCAGAAAGAGTAAAGAGAATAGATACCTAGTCCTACTGAAGCAAGAACCTTCCATTTTGCTACATTTAAAGTTTAAGATCTGTAAAGTTTTTCTCATCATCCAAAGCAGCACTTGGATATTTTATTCATCACTTTCTGTGCAAGAATAGACATCAAGGGCAAACACATACCATTAGTGTCTGCAAGTACTTCTCTTTAACAAAATAAATGCTACTTATTTCTACATGCTTGACTGGTTAAAGACAATAACTGAACTGCAAAATCTCCACACATCTCCTAAGGAATAAACGCTGCCAGTTGTTTTTCAGAAGCCAGTAAAAATTGTCCCAAATCTCTACAATATCCTTAAAAATACTTCATTATGATCAATGCATCCCATTAATTTAGACAATGAAATTACTGCAAAGTATCCAGTAATCCAGATCATTGTAAGTTACTTATTGAGGCAAACCTGGGCAGAACCTCAAAGACAAATATGAGGAATCTGTGCTTTATCCTGTGGAAAATAACTCCTCAAAATAAACCAGACAAGGTGGATTAAAGCAGCAATATTCTGAATGGCAAAAATGCCCAGGTAATGAAAAAGGCAAAGAGCAGTATCAGTCACAGGAGCATGGCCTCTGAAATAAAATGCCAGACTGTGTCTGATAAGGCATGTTTGTTTTTTAGTATTCTCTGGAACACATCCAAAGTCTGGTGCATCTTTAAGCTGAGAAGTAATCACAGATAATACAATAATTTCCATTAGGTATGGTAAGAAAGGAATCTTTTATTGGTATAATCACAGTCTAAGCTAAGAAGACACCTTTATTAAATAATGGTCATTAACACCTGATTACAGCAAAGCAGTTACTTGCCTGTGGGAAGTCATTGATCTCCAGTTCTTCTTCGTATCTCTTGAAGGATTCATTCTGCCCTCCATCCTGTTTCTCTTCCTCCTGCTTCTCTATGGGCACATAATTGAGCTTAGCATTGATTTTCTCAGCCAGCTGCTCTGCAATGGTCTTGGCAGACACAGTAGGAGCTTGAATTGTGCCTCCTCTCAGGATAGCATTTGTAGCCTGCTGCATCACATCCTGTAAAACAATAGGCCCATGCTGAGAACAAAGCAGCCAGAAGAAGTCCTATATAAATCAACAAGGGTTTCTTTGCAGTTTTCTAGGTAATATAATTGTCCACATAACACATGCTGCAAACTTCTCCTTCTCTTCTTACTTTGCTTTGCTCCCAGTAACTCCCCTCACACTAGCACAGAAAAGATCTTGCTGGTCTTTTTTATCTTCAGCTCAAAATTCCTGTGGACCTTCCAGACCATATTAACCTAACTCTAAATGGATTGTGCATCACACACTTGAGCAGAGGAGGATGTTCTGCAACTCTGCTAAGCTGACAAAACCTAATTATGTCATTTTAGCAGTAACGAATTAACTCTATGCCAGGTCAAAGCATTTCCACTTCTGTACTAAAATTTTATGATCATCTTAGCTCAATTACAAATCCTACAACTGACCTTAAAGTGGAAGGGCACCAATACTTGTGCCTCTGCTCCAAGATTCTTCTGGGCATTGATTCTCAAAGCCAATCTTTTAGCAATTTCCAATTTTTCTGCGTTCCCAGCGGATGGCGTAGGAGCGTTTGATGTTCCTGGTGCTGCCATGTCCTTTACTCTCTTCTTGGAATTGAACATGCTTTCAATTTGTTCATCAATCTAAAGAAAAATAACCATTTTAGATCACTGCATTTACCATTAGATAACTTTATCATACTAAAGAAAGAAAACACCACAGTGCCTTTAGTTTACACGCTTTTAAAGCATTAAGTACAAAATATCAGAAAGTCAGAAAGAGACTTTCAAGATCTTCATAGATCTTGATCTTCACAGCTGTAATCTTTAAATCCACACTAATTCTGCAATGTGTTAGGTATAATACTAATGAAAAACCAAACATATTGGAAAGCCTTCAACAAGTTAAATCTTAATTTTCATGTGCTTACATCAACAGCTGTGTCTTCATCGTCTGAATCTTGCAAGCCAAGAGCTGCTTTTTGTAGCTTCTTTCTTTCATTAGCCAAAGCCTGTTCAGTTTCATCAAATTTAAAACCTTTGCCAGAGAATCCACTGCTTTTTTTAATCAGCTTTCCCTCCTGAAAACAAAACCACATTTTTTCATATTTAGAAGTTTAAAATCCAACTCTGACAGGCACAAAATAACTCTAAAATCATACAAATCCTTCTGAAGCCATTTATTTTAAAGAGCAAACATGAGCATATTTAGAAAGCTCTTCAAATGTAAAAACTGTGTTTTTACAAGTGTAATAAAAAAAGCTACGTTGTCAGCAGACAAACAATACACTATGGGTATTTTCTGTATGTATATATTTTAAATGAAATTCAAATGCAGTAAAATCCCCCTCTTTTTTAGCAGAAAAGCTCTGAAGTCACTCTTCTCAGCATGAGCAAGATCCTCTGATGGCAAAAGCTCTAGAAACAAGTTCTACAAACGAATTTTGCTCTTTTATAAAAGCCAAAGTGCCCCATACACAGTAGGCATCTCTCTATCCCACACCAGATGGCAACACTGAAGTTCTCTACAACAGTCCTGTAAATGACAATCAAGATCCCAACCCTGAAAACTCACAGGCTGAGCTAAGTGCACACACGTGTCCCCGTGGAGCCAGTGTGCACTGTATGGCTGGACCTGTGTGCACGCATGTGAAACCCAGACCAAAGCCCACAACAGAACCCAGAATTACTCACAGCTTTCTGTTGGTCTTTGAAGTCAGCCCAGAGCTTCTCCAAATCAGAAGGAATTGGATTCCCAGACAATTCCAAAGCTTTAATGATATCGCCAGCATACCGTGCCTGATCCTCGGTAATGAATGTGTATGCATACCCCTGGGCAGAATTAATTTAAAAGATAAGAAAGAAGAATCTCTAAAGACACTTTATCTCTAAATTTATTGCAGCACCCTTGCACAGATGCTGTCGTTCTGGTCAGTAGAAGTAACCATGATATTTAGGCATAAACTTTTTTTTAGCAGAAATACAGAATGAGTGATTTCCCAGGAAGCCAGTACAGAGGTCATCAACCACAGACAGCAGAAAATGAAGTCTCTCCTGTTAATTATGCCATAGTTAAACATTTGGAAAATAAAATCTTATCAATTTACTAGGGCACACTTCCAACAGTGAAAAACTCCCAAAGTTTCAGCCACAAACAGATCAGAAAAAAAAGTAAGCTCCAACTTTCACAGTGCTAAAATTCACAATATGTTTTTTACACATGATCACTCCATAACCTTAGATGCACTCTGAAAGAAAACCACTTCCCATCAGTAACATAAGCTACTCCATCTACAGCAATCCTTTGGGAAGACCCTGAGCAAGCAATGAATAAAGAAAACCTTCAGTAATAATGAAAAAAAAAAGCTCCAACTTTCATAGTGCTAAAATTCACAACATGTTTTTACACATGATCACTGCATAACCTTAGATGCACTCTGAAAGAAAACCACTTCCCATCAGTAACATAAGCTACTCCATCTACAGCAATCCTTTGGGAAGACCCTGAGCAAGCAATAAATAAAGAAAACCTTCAGTAATAATGAAAGCAGGCAACTAATCACACATACTTTATTGCCAGCTCGTCCAGTTCGGCCTGCTCGGTGCACATAGTCTTCATAATGGTTGGGACAGCTGTAATTGACCACCAGCATCAACTGCTTTACATCCAAGCCTCTTGCTGCTACAGATGTGGCCACCAGAAGTTTACAAATTCCATTCTTGAAATCATTGATTATGCTGTCCCTGTCATACTGATCAATACCTGCAAGAAACCAGAGAAAACGGTTAATTACAAAGCTCTGTGTTCAGCCAAAATAATTCGTACACAGGTCAGAACAAGCTCCAACTTTCAACAACCAAAAGCCTAAGCAAATAAAATTTCAATACATTCACACTTCTGTAAAATACATTAGACAGAATGATAGATCTCTTAGCCCTTTATCCAAAATAACAGAACTTTTAGTTATTCCAGTACTAAAAGATGTCTTCCCATACCAAGATCCTCAGAAGGGTCTTTAATATGATTTTTTTATTTGACTTACTCAATTGAGACCTCATCTGGAGGCTTTGTCTGCTCTCTAAAGGCAATAGAAATCTCAGAATGAGAGTATTTTTCCCTCTTCTGCCATTGCATTAAATGAACATCAGTTTTGTACTTACTGGTTACTGTACTTTCTATTACTACTTGATGGAAGGAAAGTGAAACAACAGCTGCTATTATTGTGGAATCTCAAATAAAAATATCACATAATACTCCCCCGATGGCATTCACCACTCTACAGTGAGCAGTTAGTGATACTCCCTGAGAGGTGTTCACTCTCAGTAACAATCCTGTTGCAGAGCCAAGATTTGGCATCCGATGACATCTCACAGGGAACAAAAAAGAGCAATTACAGAAGACTGTCTATTTCAAATTAAGAGGCAAGGATCTTTCCCAATTACAAAGCAAAACCTGCTTAGGAAGAAATAATAATTGGTACTACACAGGAACTAAATAACTTCTCTTTAGAAGTACTAAATACCAATATTCTAGA